AGGATTAAAGGTGTGCACCACCACTGCCCAGCCTGGATATTCTCTGTTTAATAACTAGCCTCTCTGCATGGATAATAAATTTCCTCTTGCCAAAATCCAAGCTTTATATAGTATCTGTATTACACTGTGGATTAAGCTGAGAAAGTCAGTCAAATGCTTGACTACTTGAAGGCTGCACAGCAAGGTCTTGCTTTTCTCTTTCCACACTTGACCATCCACAATGATGATGCTGGAAGCACAGGAGGGAGGCGGGAACATGGATTCAATGCTATCCCAAGCTTTAAGTATTTTCTTACCCTTTCCTCACCACTTTCACCCACTCTTGGGAGGAAAGGCTCATCACAGATGGCTCTACAGATGAGCCCAAGCACTCCAAACAATGTGCAAACAGTTATACTTAGCTTCATTCTTAACATCCTGATGAGCCTACTTGATAGTGACAGATGCTCACAATGCCTGACCATGTTGGGAAGATAAAGGGAAGAAAGAGATGGGAAGAGCCAAGACTAGTAGGAGTCTTCCAATACACATTTCAGATAAAGGCCCCTGAGCTCGTTCTGTTTCAAATTAGGCCCCTTCCTCAAGGTCTGTTTCAAATTAAGCCCCTTACTACAAGGTTTCATGTAGCTAAGGATGACCTCAAACTTACTATAAAGCTGAGGATGACCTTGAACTTCTGATCCTCCTGCTTGTACTTCCCCAGTACTGAGATTACAGGCATATACAACTACACTTATTGGGGATACAATCCAGGGCTTCATACATGCTAGGCAAGCACTCTACTAACTGAGATACACCACTAACCACCCCATCTTTTAAAAATTTGTTAATGTATTAATTTTATTCATGTATGTTTTGCTTACATGTATATATGCCTAACACATGTGTGATTGCTATTGACAGAGGTCAGAAGAGGCCATCAGATCTCCTGGAACTGGAGCTACAGATGGTTGTGAGCCACCATGTGGGTGTTAGGAATCAAACCTAGGTCCTCAGCAAGTGTTCTTAACCACTGAGCCATCTCTCTAGAACTTATTATTTTTTAAGACAACATCTCCCTATGTAGGTCATGGTGGTCTACAACTTGACACTACCTTGTCCAACTAGCTTTGAACTCACAATTACACTGTCTGAGTACCGTTAAGTGCTGCCTTATAGGCATGCACGACCACACCTGGGTGTATCCCTGCTTTTTAAACCCCAAAGATGTAGGACACGTGTGAAAAGGATTGTGTGTACCTTACAAAGGCAAGAAACTTTCATAGGCCAAGTCAGCAAGAACTGACAGCTACCAAGAAGGTTCTCATCACTAAGGCATCCAAAAAGCTGGGAACCAGACTCAGGCTGACTAGTATACCCTCAAACCCAATAGCTCTGCCCCATGATACTCTGCCAAGACATCCCTTACAAGCCAGAACCACACAGGTATATGGTGGGTACAGGCCACGCAGGCCAAGCAAGGGATCAACTCTATTTCCAGAAGGATATATTCCTAGCCATCATAATCAAGGCATTCAACAGTGTAGGCACAAGCAAGCATTCCCAAACCTACCTCCTCACTGCTTCTGGCCCCAGTTCACTCTGGAACACATCCCCACTTTCCCACTTTGCCCAGACAGCATCCACTATTCCCTCCAGATTTACTACCCTTCAGTTCTTTAGAAGTATCATCTCTACTCTCCACATTCGGCCTCATCCCTCCAGTTATCCATGCTTTTAATGTCTTCTTGGGCCCTTCCTACTTTTCAGGAGCAAATGCTGCTGCTCTCCAAATATTTTGAACCCAAGTAAAGATGGCACCTTTCTGCAAGGGAAGGGGGTACTTACAAAAACTTGTTGGAGTGCCAACACTGACTGATGGGACATCAGTTATGTTAGACCCAGAGACAGCCTCATAGCTGTTTCTCAGCTCCTCCTCATAAAATGCATCTACAGTACCAATCTTAAGTTCAAAAGAAGACCACAGGAAACTAAGCATTGTCCTTGCTCTCCACCCTATCCCTTTCAGAATGACAGGAAGAAAAGCAAGCAAATTGGGAATGTTTTAGAAAAAATTAGTACTGAGCCCCAGTATGATGGTACACTCCTCTAATCCCAGCACTCAGGAAGTTAATGTAGGAAGATCACAAGTTTGAATACAGCCTAAGCTGCTTAGTGAGACCCTCTTCCTAAAAGAAGAATCAATACTATACCCCCATGAAGATAGTTCCAAGTTCCAAAATTACAAGAAAAGGTCATTTTACCATCAACAGCTCTTCAGTAGTTAGTCTCCACAGATCTGTTTTAACATTCCACATCACAGAAGCAGGAAGCAACTATACCCACATAGTACAGAGGCAGAGTTAGGCAGAAAGGAATGCAGATGGCTTCCTAGAAGTGCCGGAATAAGAAGGAAACCAAGACTTTACCCACAGCTTCCCAGGTCCAGAAGTGTTGGCACTGGGCTTAGAATAAGCACTTTGGCACCTCAGAGGCTGTGATGGAAAGGGTCCTCAGATCTGAAAGACCAAAGGAAGACAGACAAAAAAAAAAAAAAAAAAAAAAAAAAAAAAAAACCCAAAAAAAAGACAGAATACACCTGAGTTTCTCCCCAGGACCTTTTGAGTAAGCAGTAGTTACACTTGAATGTGAGCCAAGGGAAGCAGGTGGAACCTCAGGGAGATCCCAACATCTGACAGGAAAACAAAGCAGTTAGGCTTTGCTGGCTCCAACTCTTCTGGCCTCTTTGTTGCCTCAGAAGTTGTAATGCTTCTTGCAGTCCTACTGCTAGCTGTAGGCTTCCCAAGAATCCCCACTACAGTACCTAGAAGTCTTCACAGAGCAAGGCTGAATAGAGAGATCATTCTGCAGACATGTCTTTCCCAAAGTATGGGGCTAAGTGGCTCTGTTGGAAGACAAGAATGGGGGCAGGAGCACAACACAGCAAAGAAGTCATTAGTTATGCTTTCCTCTTCTGTGTTGAATATTAAGCCACTGAATAATATTAATGTATCCGGGCGTTGGTGGTACACGCCTTTATACCCAGCACTCGGGAGGCAGAGGCAGGCGGATCTCTGTGAGTTCAAGGCCAGCCTGGTCTCCAGAGTGAGCGCCAGGATAGGCTCCAAAGCTACACAGAGAAACCCTGTCTCGAAAAACAAAAAAAAAAAAAAAAAAAAAGATTTAAATCAGGTCTAGAAAGATGGCATAGTTGGTAAAGTACTTGCTACTCTAGCCTGTGCACCCAAGTCATGATCCCCAGCACCCATGTAAAAAGCAGGCAGGGCACAGCAGCACATGTCTATGATCCTAGAGCTGGGAGGCAGAGAGGTGGATTCTGGGAGTTCAATGGACAGTCTAGCCAAATCAGTGCACTCCAAGGTTGATGAGAGACCTTATCTCAAAAAATTAGGTAGTGAGCAACTGAGGAAGATACCAAATGCCAACTCCTGACCTCCATGCACATATAAGCACACCCGTGTCCAGCCCTCCCCCCTTCCACACACCAAGAGAATTAAATACAGAAAAATGAATCAAATCTAAGACTGCTCTCCTTTCCTGAGAAAAGGCAATTCCTAATAAGGATTCCAGACAATGCTTCGCCTTCATACTTCATATAAGATACTCGTATCACAAGGTTAGGCAGGTATTAGCATCATCACAAAAAGCACACAAGGTCACACGAGTCTATTTAGTCCTCAAAGGTTTGTACTCACCACCAAAATTTCCATTTCAGGTCCCATGGAGATAACAGGAGGCAAAAATTAGACAAAACTTTTTTCCAGACAGAGGACTTGATGGCTGACAGAACTAGGAGTGGCTCCAGACACCCCACATACAGGAAGGTGGCTAAGCACCTGGACTCTCCCATTCCAGTAGCACCAACAAACTAGCTGATGTCATCTCTCTGGTTGACACGTTTGCCTCCTGGGCTCTTGGATTTCACCCATCCTCGCCTCAAATTTGCACAACAAAGATCCTCAGCTGGTTCTTCGGTCTCTAACCTGTTGCAAATGGAGTCTTTTGACTGAAGGACTTATGACTAAGTATAGACATAAGTTTTAACATGGCCTCTAGCCACAGATTTTACTCACAACCCTAGCCCCGAATACATGCTGATTTTCCTCAGAGACAACGCTACAGAAGAATTCAAAAAGAACATGCTGAACCCACAGAAAGAAGGACGAAGAAAGATAAAATCAACTACGTTGTACCTCTCTGGAACAACAGATAGGAAACAGGCCAATCCCCAGGCAGGAACATCTGGACAAACTTTCTCATCCTAACAGGAAGATCACCTGAAACGCAGTACAGTTTGGAATCTGATTCAAAAGCAGTTTTCTTTTCCTGACTTTTCATTCCACAAGGAGATGCTGCAGGTTACACATAGGGCACCAGGTCATCTTCAGTCTGCCTATGTGAGCAGCATGTATACTGTGTAGATTATGCACTCAGCTTCAGATTGGGAGCTTTGTATTTAGGTACTGATTATCTCATCAAAAATAGAAGGGGATAAATCCATTCTCTCCACTAAGCATGTCTGAAGAACATGACCCTACCATAGTCAGATCACAATTTTTCAAGAGGAGCTTTCAGCTAAAGCTTGTCCTGACAAGAGACACAGGAAGAGGAGGAAGAGCTTAGGGAAATTAAGCATGGCTAACTCCATCACCTCCAGTCTAGAGACTCTGACTCAGAGGAAAGGTCAAGCTTTCCTTATCTTGCTCCCAGAATCCTCTCTGAACAACAGGAGTAGAGTCAAGAGAGTGAATGGACTGTTTTCATGGACAGTACCCCATCAGTCAGTCACTTTTATAAAATGGCAACATACACATTAGACATGATGGTTGAATGACCAGATAAACTCATTACTGAAAAACATGGCTGAAATCTGATTTATATGTGATAAGGACACAAAACAACATCTCTGAAAATACTAGCAAGAAGATATAAAACTACATAGTGTTTGCAGATCTCACACAATAGTGCAGGAAGGATAAGTTAATTAAAGATGGAGCTGGATGCTCACTACTGCAGCACAAAAACTAAACCTGGAAAGATACAGAGAAGATTAGTATGTCCTTTGCATATGGATATCAGCAAATTCATGAGGCATTCCATAGTTTAAAAAAAAAAAAGTGGAAGCAAGCTTGGTAGTGTATGTCTATAATTGCAGCACTCAGAAGATGGAGGTAAGAGGATCAGAAGTTCAAGGTCAGCCTCACCTACATATCAAATAGGAGGCCAGCATGAGACTCAAAATGTTTTAACTTAATTTAAAAAATAAAATAATAAAAGATGGACTGCTGTGGAATAATCCATTTGTTCACTGTAGATATGTATTACTCTCATTGGTTTAATAAAGACCCAACCGCCCAATAGCTAGGCAGGAAGAGGTAAGATGGGAGAGCCAGACTGAGAGCATGAGGGGAAGGAGGGCAGAGTCACCAGCCAGACAGAGAAAGCAGATAAACATGCTGTGCTGAAAAAAAGATACCATCATGTGATAGAGCCTACATAAGAATTATGGGTTAATTTAAGTTGTAAGAGCTAGTTAGTAACAAGCCTAAGCTATCGGCTGAACATTTATAATAATAAGTCTCTCTGTATGCTATTTAGGAACTAACAGGCAGGACATAAAAATCCATACAATGGACATTTGCAGGGATTTTCAAAGGTATTCTCTGGGGCAACACTAATGCTATAATACTTTACACATTCTGAAAATCATTTTTTTTTTTTTTGAGACAAGGTCTTTCTACATAGCCCTGGCTGTCCTAGAACTCAATCTGTAAACCCAGCTGGCCTCAAACTCACAAAGATCCACTTGCCTCTGCCTCCCAGGTGCTGAGATTAAAGGCTTGTGCCACCACACCCAGCTTCCATATAACTTTTTTTTTTTATTGTTAACATGTACCTGTGCGTGGGTATGTGCACATCAGCATAGGTACCTGCAGAGATCAGAGGCCTTGGACCCCTGTAGTTGGAGCCATCCAACATGGATTCTGGGAACCAAACTTCAGTCCTCTGGAAAATCTGTATTCCTTCTTAACTGCTAATCCATGTCTCCTGCCCCATATCATCTAATTTTGATACCTTTTAATTTAATTTTTGAGAATTTTATACAAGAGAACTGTATTTATAGCATTTCCATCCCTTTTCCCCACTCTAATTCCTCTCATGTCTCTCCTTACTACTTCCTCTCATATTCATGACCTCCTCTTCTTTAGTTAATATTCTCTCTCATAAAAATAAATACAGCTTGCTAAGTCCACTTAGTGTTGCTTGTATGTAAATGTGTTTAGGGGACTGGATAACCTCTCAAGAGCTTGTCCCTGAAGAGGACTGATTCTCCTTCTCTCAGCAGCCATTAATTGCCTGTAGCTCTTCATGTAGGAATAGAGCCTTGTGAGATTTCCCTCAACCACACTGGCATGTCATCTGATGGGTGTCACTGTGCTGGTCTTGGTAGCCATATTGAGATTCCATGGGTGCAGCTTACCTGTCATTCATTCATATAGATAGATAGATAGATAGATAGATAGATAGATAGATAGATAGATCAATAAATATATTCATTGTACATAGCTGCTTTGGGTCTCATAAATTCCACTTCTTTCAAGTATATCATACATTTGACCATAGTTACCTCCTACCTACCCCATTCTTCCTCTTCCTTATCTCCCTCCCAACGAGTCTCCTTTCTTTCCCTAGTAGTTTTTCTATTTCCATGTTATACTTATATGTTCTATGTATCTATAAAAAACATGCAAGATCCACAAATGAGAGAAAACATGCAGTATTTGTCAAAGTTTGGCTTTATGACACTCTCTAGTTGTATCCATTTTCCAGCAAATGGCATAATTTCATTCTTCTTTGTGGTACCACACTATCTACTTTCATCCCCAAATGCCTGTCTTTTCAGAAGTTTTCCTGGAATGTTTATCAGCCAGGACTAGAATAATCATAATCAAAGAGAAACAGACAAGAAAGATCTTTCCTGAAGTACTAAGCAAAATAGGTAAATAAGAAATCAAAAGAAAGAGCAGGACTAAAGATAACATAAATAGGGGTTGGAGAAATGGCTTGGTGGCTAAGAGCACTGGGCACTCTTTCAGAGGACCAGAGTCCAATTCCCAGCACCTACATGGTGGTTCACAATCATCTGTAAATCCAGTCCCAGGGGATCTGATATCCTGTTCTGACCTCTGAGGGCACCAGGCACACATAGTACACAGATATACATATAGGCGAAATACCCATACCAAAAAAAGGGGGGCAGGAGCAGGGGATTTGAAAAATAAATACTGAATTCCTAAAACAACTTAAGACCAAATGGAATGGAGGTAAAGTTCCACGTACCAGAAAGGCTCACAGCCCCTTATCAAGGCCCAAATCAAACCATTATTTCAACTCAATGTTATTAGTCTCCACAATGAACACATCTACAGAATCCACATTAGCATTCACTTCCTAGTCTCCTAGAGCTGCCTGCTTCCTGAAGAAAAGGATCAATGTCACATATTCCTAAAAGTTTTGGTATACCAAAAGGCACCCTCACTGGTGAGGTAGAGCCAGGATGGAAATCAGGGCTTACAGAATACAAAAGTAAATCAACATAGTGTGATGAGCACTATGGTGACTGACTGTCCTAGGGAAAAAGAGAAAATAAAGATTGTGGGATAGCTTGAAAGTAGACAGAATCCAGTAAGTAAATCTTTTCTCCAGAGCTATTCTGCCAAATTCTCTGGCTTTCTCTAGCAGGTTTTAGAGTTTAAGAGCCTCTGAATGATGAGGGTAGCAAGAATGAGAATGGTGCCTCAGCTTCATCACTAACCAAATAGACAGGTGTCTCCTATGCCATTTACACTTTACAAAGAACCATTGGGTAGCAAAAGACTTTGGAGGTTTCAGCTCATTCTTCAGTAAAGGAAACTGAGGCAAATCTTTACAGGGAAAGGAAAAGGGGTCTAAATGAAGCAAGAACTGACTAAATCTCAAGGCATTTCAGAAGCAAACAAGAGGAAGAAGCAGCAGGATTCTGCTTTTGTCAGCAGCTCTGGTATCAAGTACATGGGGAAGGAAAGCTGAGGTTTGTGTAAGCACAAGCCAAACCATCCACCTCTTCTTCAAAGACCCCTTGGTGTTCTTAGGAGCATCTCTCATCTCTTTAGTCTACTCTTATTTCATAGCTTTTGGTAATAGGATCCCCAAAGACTCTCCCTTTCCTTGCTAGAACCAAATCCTGCCTCCTCCAAAGCCTAAGATTTGGAACACAGCCATGCGCAGCTCAGAAGGAGCCATCAAGGAACATTGGGCATGTTATCAAACACTTAAGGTTTCCTAAAACTCCAACTTCCAAGGGCCAATCTCCATCTGATTGGAAAATCAAAGCCAGGTAAAGATCCAAAATGAGTCTGTGAAAGGGGTGGAAAGTGGGAAGAGGAATTCTGGATACACAAAAGGACAAGCCTCCCACATGCTCAGGTTACAACAAACAGATACAGACCCCAGGGCAAACCAGATGTTGCCAAAGTTCTCTCTAGAAGTGAACCAAGTCAGAGAATGTCCATCATTTTATTATACTTTACTTTTTCAAGATGACTACCTAGGCCAGCTTTATCTTCATATAGGTCATCTGAATTCCCTTTCAGTTCTACTAAGGAAGAGCGGTGCTTACAGCAATGATTCTCTGTCTCATGTCTATGCTCACTCCTTGATACCCAGGTTTACTCTCTGGGTTTCCATCTCACACCCATAAGTCTCAACTTCTGTACAATGAAATAAGGACACTTTTAGCCGGGCGTTGGTGGCACACGCCTTTAATCCCAGCACTCGGGAGGCAGAGGTAGTCGGATCTCTGTGAGTTGGAGGCCAGCCTGGTCTCCAGAGTGAGTGCCAGGATAGACTCCAAAGCTACACAGAGAAACCCTGTCTCAAAAAACAAACAAACAAACAAACAAAAGAAATAAGGACACTTTGACAATAGGAAATTGAAACACAGAAAGGACCCTGCATAAGATCAAACCACAAATTAGTAGTACAGCAGAGATCAGAATCCAATTCTCCAAACATGGTCTATCAGTCCCCACAACTGACCACAATACCTCTGTTATGGGAGAAACATCTGCAATAGAGCATGGAAACGAAGCAAACACAATTTATCTGCAAGTCGGTTTAAGGAAAACAGCACAGCCAGAATGTTTGGCAGAGACTAACTAAATATTTCCTCTGTGACCTCTGACAGAGAGAAGACTGGAAGACTGTGAGAGAGGGATAAGCAGAGCATGCAAGGAAGTGGGAGAGAAGATCACGGCACAGACACGCAGAGATGTACGTCTAGAAAAGAAAAATGGAATGCTAACCTGAGTACTTACTAAGCCAAAGAAGTCATGGTTTTTAAAGGGTGGCAGACACTTAAAACTTGCTACCAAGATAGAGTCTAGAAGGAAATTTAGCAGAATTGTTTCGGGGGAAGAATTATTAAAGAGAGCATAAAAAAGTTCTAGCCAAGAGAAAAGGCTAGATTAAAAAGGCTATGCAAAGCCCGGCGTTGGTGGCACACACCTTTAATCCTAGCACTCAGGAGGCAGAGGCAGAGGCAGGCAGAACTCTGTGAGTTGGAAGCCAGCCTGGTCTACAGAGCGAGTTCCGGGACAGGCTCCAAAGCAATACAGAGAAACCCTGGGGGGGGGGGGCGGGCGGGGGATAGGGGAGAAAATATTTCAGGGCAACAAAGAAACAAAAAAACATTTTCTGGCAAAAACACAAGCAATACTTAGAAGCAACCAACATGGAAACAAGGCCCAAGGTCTCAAACGAAGCATAGGTTAGAAATTAAGTCCAAAGGTTACATTCCCAGTAAAGAAAGGAAGGAGAGAGAAGCTGGAAAAGAACTTATTGCCTAATGGACAGGACTCCGTGAGTGTAATATGGGAGCCTGGGACACATCAGAGGCCTGTTTGCAGAATACCATGAGTGAAACTGGAAGGCAGCTCAAGGGACCTAAGCAACGATCTTCCAAAAGGGGCAAAAGCACCAAGATGAACCCACTGTGAAGAAGCCACTACACAGAACTAGGCCCTACATGAGGAGTTGGAGAATTGTCGTGGTGGTTAACAGCACTC